ATATAGAGGGATCCATTACAAGTGTTTTGGATGAAATACAACTCAAGAAACGAATCAGAATCGAAAAATAATTCCCTGGTCGGAACACACCGCTGTTCAAGAGCTCTCATAGTGCCAGGTGAAGCAAAATGCTGGCACCAGCGCTCCTGCTTCGTTTTTTTCACCCCGATGCTCGAGCGCCAACTGGCAGTCTACTAGCGAAAGAACCTCGGCTTTTTCTCCCCAATCTATAATTTGATTTCTTCAAGCACTTCAATCAAAACTCCAAAATCAAATCTTCAATTATCCAAAGTCCTTTTACCAATCAAACTTTCAATCCTTGATAAGCTTTGATCCCTTTTTCAACCGGACTCCCAAACCAAGGACACTCTTGTTCTTTTTATTGGGAACGAATCAAAATCCCAATAAAAATTTGGGTCATACTCCAACATAAAGAAACTATCTTTCACGGAATAAGCTTGAGAGGAACTTACACGACCGCATTATAAATAGATCGTTCCAGAGATTAATCCTTCATAGTTTTCTGCTCAACAGATGATTTCTGAAATTTAAGTCTAAAATACCAATTTGAATATCTATGAACACTTATTAAAATTCTCATTCATGACTCCAGATAAAATTAGAGTTTCTACTGAGATTATAATTCTAGTAAATAAGCCATAAGACCAACCCGATCTGGGTCAGCCAGGAAACGGCTAAAAGGAATCACCAACACAATATCGGGACAACAGCCTTTTCCATGCTTCCATCAAGTAAGAAATCCTCAAGACTCAATTTTCTCTGATTATTTCCTTCCTCGTCCGTGGAAGATGTCTACGATAAGAACAAATGAGTGTATATAGTTTAACCTACATAAAAGTGTAACAATAGCATCATAATACGTAAAAGAAAGAATGACGCCATTTTAAGGTTTGATCTCATATATGGAAACACTAACCTTGCCGTAAATTTGATTCTGAACTGGACACTGTGCTTGTTTTTCATATTTCGATCAATAGTCCTCGAAAGCATCATGGATTACAGAGGCTGAATGTAAAAAAATTTATCATCTCTGATGACAACGGGTGATCAACTGCAAGGCAAAAAAATGATAACAGTTGGTCAATAGATGCAAGTGAACTTCAAAAATAAGGATATATAAAAGGATCTCTTTTTAAATTAACTGAATCAGATTTACATTTTAGTAGCACAGGATATGAGTGTGCAGAAATAGTGTTATTTTTTCGTTTCATACTTCTGAATTGATAGAAGTGAGTCAAAATATCTGGAGAATTTCCCAAGTGAACTTTTCTGTTTTTCTTCTTCATTTGTTCATCTCCTCTCTTATAGTCCGACTATACATACAAAAATAATTGCTGAAAAAAGTTTATGCATCTTACTATTAAGAATTAAAACAACATAATTTGCAGTTTAATTCATTGAGATAAACAAATGTTGTATCCGTGTTTACTATTTTGAAGTCAGAACGAAACAAGGACTAGCAAGACTAAAAAAGGAAGAATTATGCTAGTTGTACATTTTTGGATGCCATTATGGATGATATTGTGTGATGTGTGAAAAATTGAGTCATTGATTTGAATTAGTTTTGTTAAAATCAATGGCGCAAAGTATTGCCATGTCAAACAATGTCATCCGTGATGTTAAACTTAGTTTACCTATAGCAAGACTGAAAAAGAAAACAAGGCCATTATTTGCTAGGATTGTGTAACGAATAGTAAGTTATATACTTCATTATATACGCCTGCAAAGAATTATTATACACTGGTCGACACTACTAGCTAGCATTTATGTATACATGAAGATTCGACTAACTAAAAAAAATTGATTTACACATTTACACAGGTAACTCTTGTTCAGGACTTCCCATAGAACTATAAATTCTATATGCAATTTGACTCATATCAGGTCTTACTTCTGAATTTGCAAGCAAAGCAAGATTAGCTATATCAACCAAAACCCTAAACTGTTCAAGATTCACATCACCATTGAGTTTTGGATCCAACATTCCTACCAAAATTTCCACATTGTCACTTTTTCTGCAGTCCTCGGTCCATTCTGGTAAAGTGAATGAGCCTTGGACCGATCGCAGCCCTGTTATTAGCTCGAGAATTAACACTCCAAAACTGTAAACGTCACTCTTTGGGGATACTATACCCGTGTTGAGGTATTGTGTATCGACATAACCCAGTGAGCCCTTCACCACGGTTGGTGTATGTGCACTTTGTGCATCGTTGCCCAGCTTGCATAGTCCAAAATCAGCAAGTTTGGCATGATTATCGTCAATTAGGAGAATATTAGATGACTTGATATCACGATGTATGACGGCAGGATCTGCCACTGAATGAAGATAATCGAGGGCATAAGCAATGTCTAAGGCAATGCTTAAACGATTAGACCATGAGAGTATGCCTGAGGATTGGCCTTGGAAAGTGTGCATTCGATCAAAGAGGCTCTTGTTCGGGACATACTCCAAAAGAAGGAGTTGTTCTCCTGTTTCAATACGAATTAATTACTTCATCGCATGAAAAAATTGTTGAGAAAAGGTAACTGAAATGGAAAAAGATCGTGCAATCTTAATAGATCTATTTCATAATATGTACATATATTTTCACCAAGCATCATATTGTATTACAAGTAGAGATGCAAAGTTGGATTGGACTGACTCCAAAAAATTGATATGCCACCAAAGGTGCCAAATTAGACCAAGATGAAGTTTAATGTTTTAGGTACTAAAACCAGCCTTCTTCATATGAAGGTGAATATTGACAAGAAGTTTAAACTTTTAGATGGGGCGGTTCACAATTATTACCAAAAACGTAAAAAACAAAAATGAACATACCTTTCTCCAAGCAGAATCCCATCAACCCTACCAAATTTGGATGCCTTATCCTTAGCAAAACCGAAACTTCATCCAAGAACATCTTCTGGCTGCCTCCTCTTTCCTCCATGACTCGCTTCACAGCACCTAATTTTCCATCACCAAGCTCAGCAAGGTAAACATATGATGTTCCTCCAATGCCAATCCGAACACTAAAGTCATTTGTTGCCTCCTTCAACTCTTTCAGTGCATAAGTTCTTATAGCAGCGGATGGACAACAATTGATAATGCAATCTTCATTTTTGTTCGTCTGAATATCTACACGCTGATCATCTTCTTTATCAGAAGATTTATCATCTTGAGAAGCCAAATAAACAGCAAGCTTCCTCAAGATGATTGTGAGAATTATAACAAGTACTATTGCCCCAATAATCAAATAGCTTCTTGTATGTGCAGTGGAGAAACCAAGAAACCACATTTTTGTTTATGTTTGGACATGTTCCATTATGGTTTCTTTAATCATTTAAAACTATGAGTATGGGATGATGAGGACAAATTGTTTGGGTGGGGTTTGGTGAAGAAGATTGGCGTGGCAGTTTAACGAAGATTCAGTGATTTGTATTTTTATGTTCAGAGAAGTAGATTAATATCTTGTGCATTAATGGAATAAATATGTGATGAGGGGTCGTTGTTTTGTCTTGTAATAAACAAGTCAAAAGAAGACTGGAACTTTTTGTTGACGGCTGAAATTTTTTGGTCCCATTGTAGGCTGCTTTCTGATTCTAACTTTTATCCCATATGATGTTGATGCAACTATGCTAAATTTCAGCAGCTAGAGTCAATGATGTCATACGAAATCTTATAAATATTTTCTCCTGCATTATGATACATACAAATCATTTTTAATTTTGAGACAATATCATAGATTCTCTGAGCTTAATGATAATATTAGAGACACTCTTCATATTTACAAATTCCATTAATCTCTGCTATTTATAATTTTGAGTATCACTTACATATTTTATAAGATGAGATTGACATACCACTATGTAGGAGAAAAAAGAAGATGAATAAATTTTAAACAATAAATTGTAGTTAATTTTCTCAAACTATAGGAGCATTTCTATTATATAATATGGATGTCATTTAATTAATAAATTTAACAGTATACGTTGTTTTAATGAACTCACATATCATACTTTTTAATTTAATCATACATTCTCACAATAATATATTTTATACGTAAATTTAATTTTTTTCTATTTTCAAATAATATATTCTTCAAAATTTACCATTTTAAAATTTGTTTTTCTAATTTAACGATAGACAAAGAGGGGCTAGTTATTTTTTGAAGGTAGCAATGCGCATGAAATAAAAAATGGAATACTTGTAATACATTCCACAAAGTCAACTATTGAATTTCTTAGTCAAAAGTTTTATTCAAAACAAAACAAAATAGTATAAAAAAATGAATTTGGAAAAGTCAAGCGGTGGATTGGTTCTCTTCATTGGAAACTTAGCTGACGCCCATCCAAATCCATTAAAAAAAGAAAAAAAAGAAAAAAGAAAAATCACATTACACTGAGAGAGAGAGCAGCGAGACAGTAGGGAACTTCAACAAATAAAGAAAAGAATATCCGAAAATTCGAAGAAGAAGAAGCAACTGCCTTAACCATGGACTTATGTTATCCTTTTTCTTGAGGTCGAATCATGTTTTGCTAATACAGCAAGGTAAGAAATGAGATTGCAATTCCAGGAATCTGTATTTAATTTCTGCCAGAAATTGAGATGAAGTGGAGAACAAGGGTTTAATTGAATTGAAGAAGGAAGGGGGAAGGGGACTATAAGCTGTTTACGTAAGTATTTTATTGTTGTATGTCTTTGCAGCCTTTGAAAGGAAAATCAGCCGACAGAAAGGGGAAGAAAGGCAGAATTTGTCCTGTTCCATACTTCTGGTTCAGCTCAAGGTGAGGAGAAATTAGAGCTTCAGGGATCGGATAATAGTTTTGTGTGTGTGCGTGTAATCTTCTTACATTTTGATAACAAATAAAAGAAACGAAGATTTCATTCAGATTATGGCTTTCATTCACAAGTAAGAAATTGGATTGATTAGTTCCTCATTATAAGTGTCGTTTTTCAGGAAATAACAAGGAGATTGTAATAACTTATCAACCTAGTTAATCTCTATCTAGCACATAGTTATGTGAAGTGGAAAACTTAAAATATTTTCAGATGTTAATAAATGATTTATATTATTATGTTACGTGCAAGTACGTGAATTATTTGTTCAAATATATGATAATTATGAAAGGTTATCTATAATTACAAATATTGTAAGTTGATTACTTGTAAATTGGAATATGAGACATGGGTGATAGTGAGATCAACGGCAAAAGTACTGGTAATTATATATATCTTCTAGTTCGTTAAGGGCCTTTGCTGTGTTCTATACCACATGAAAGAGTCTTGATCGTGCATTAAAGGGTCTTGATCGTGTACATATAGCTTACTAAGGGGTCTTGGTTGTGTTCTAGAATTGATTATTAGAAGTCTTTGAGACCCGCTTTTGTTCATGGAGGGGCTTGAGACCTGTGTTGAAAGTGCTTAGCTTGAGGGGCCATCCACGCGCGTATGACAAGATTATACATTTCAATCAGAGGGTACATTTTTGGTGAGATTTCTTATCATATTGTGATGAGAAAACTTGTTTTCTGTGTAATTACTTTCTAATTCAAGCAAGTAAACTTGTTTTCTGTGTAATTATTTCCTAATCAGCACCTACATTTGGGCCGTAATACCTCCATGTAGAAACAAAACAGTTTGAAATGGATCTTATTTAGCATGGGCCTGCTACTTGTAATAAATAAATGCAGTTCAGATTAACAGATAGAGAGAATTAAATGATGAATTGTACGTTCATTTTTCTTAAGAAAATTTGGCTTTCTGAAGCATGTTTGCTAATATACAATTTAGTTAACAATTTGTGGAGCGTAGTCATAATATGTACTTATTCCTTCACCATGTTTGCTTTGGCTATTTTCTTAATACACATACAGATGCCACTCAAAAGAAAGTTGAAGCATGTGTTAACCATAAGATCTGCTGCTCCTCCAAACTCTGGCAATGGGAGCCCATCTTCTCGTGGACAAGGAGAGCACTCTGATCAATTACACATTTTTGTGTCAACACCTTCTACAACTCAATCAGGTATAAACACGACAACTCAATCTATTGTAGATCCTACTACTGTTGCGAGTACTACTGAGCAAGATGCATCCAATAATATGCATTTAATAATTTTGAATATACTGTAGATTGATTCATCAAAATTAATTTTCTTTAAATATCTTTTAACTCTTTATTAAGAAAAACGTGGAATTAGTCGTGGGTTGACAGAATAATGGATGCAAATAAGAAAAAACTTGTACAAGCCAGGGAGGGACACATTTAGTGAAACATCTTGTCCATTTGCCAATGAGATTTGCATCATCATGTAAAACATTGTTTCGCAGTGCTTAACAGGTTGGTATGTAGCAACCCATGATAGGGAAGTAGCCTACGACCGACTTAGGTAAGTTATGTTTGAATTTTCATTGAGCATCTTGTTTTAATAGTTGCTCAGCTCGAGTGTTTTTATGTTAAACTAGATGTTAGATATCAATATTTTAATTTTTAAAATGTTGTCTATTGTAAAATTAAGATGGATATCTTTTTATCTAGATGGAAGATACTTTATTGACTTGGAAAATTAGAGTAAAACTTTAACTGAGAAAAACTGGAGATTCAGTAGGTGAAGTTTAAGCTTTTAAAATCTTTAACTATGGGTGCTAATTTGCTCATAAAGATCCACCTTGGCACAACTGATTTGATGAGAGACTCTGAATTTTTTTATGTAGATATAAAGTTATAATTTTTGTATTTGTTTCATTTTTATTGGAGCGTTGATTTTCTCCTACAGCCCCCATTAGCTCTTATAGTGTCTGCATCTTTTTTATCTTCTCAAAACCCTATTATTATTATTATTATTATTATTATTATTATTATTATTATTATTATTATTTATTTATTTATTTATTTATTTTTTAATCAAAGACATTTTTATGTAGATATAAAGTTATAATTTTTGTATTTGTTTCATTTTTATTGGAGCGTTGATTTTCTCCTACAGCCCCCCATTAGCTCTTATAGCGTGCGTCTGCATGCTTTTTTTTTTTTTTAATCAAAGACATAGTGGACTTGGACCTCGTGTTCTTAAGAATAATTGCTAAGTGGATTTTCTTAAGATTAGATTGTGGCCCTGTTTGAGCCCAATTCTTTGGAAAAAAACATTTTTAAATAGTGATTTATCATTTCAATCATATATTTTTCAATAAAATAATATTACATGCAAATTCAAAATTTTCCCTTATTTTTTAATCACACATTCTCCATCAATCTACTATTTCAAACTAAATTCTTTAAAAATAATTTGGCTCAAATGTTAAATGTGACATTAATTTGTAATCTTAGGAAATAAATAAGGTTACATGCACTTGAAGAAAATGTATCAGGAAAATACAT